CATGTCTGGCCGCATGCAGCGTGGCTAATATTGTAATTTGCATGGTAAATGCATGTTAAGGTTGCGTGGTGGTTTAGGGCTTTTGTATGAGTGGATTTTTTCTTTTATAAAATTTCATTAAAAGTAACTTAATAATAAGTGGTGGTATAAATTGTGGTACTTGAAATGATATTAGTGTTTGGATAAAAATTTTGTGTGCTTTTTAAAACTAATAATCATAGTTATAGGCTTATTGTGTAGACATGTTATTTCAGAATTTAATAGAATTTAATTTTCAAAAATTTAACCAAGAGATATATGCATATTATATTAATTTTTAAAATAATAAAAATTATGATGTGATATAAAAAATGAAGAATAAATCTAGTTTTTTTTTTTTTTTTCAATTTCATACTATTGTGATGTGTTGACTTCATTTTTGTGGGGGACTAATCCTGCACATAACTCCTAGAGCAGGGGTGTGATTTCTTGGGCTAACACAGGGAAGCTCAAGTCCCCAGCCTCTGGCTGAGTTAGTTTAGGATTTTGGCCTAGTGATAGACCCAAATTGGCTCGCATGGGCTATACATGCCATGGGTCACCCGAATAAACCAAAAACCCTATAAGCCATTTTATAGACCACGGGGAGGAGGGGGACACTTTGACCATGAAATTCACATTGGGAGAAGGGTCTACCTAAATTTATCCATAGTTAACTAAAGGCCTCCCCAACCCCAAAAAACCCTAAAAATCACTTTAGAACCCATCACACCCTTTTGACCCCAAATTTTTGGGGCATCATGATGAATCAAAACCAATTGGGCCTAGCCCAATTTTGGTCAAATCTTGATCAATTGAGCACATTACCATCCAATTGAACCCCTCCCAACATGGGCAAAACATTACACCATGTGGCAGACCCAATTGTCACCATGGGGTCAACCACCATAATTCACCTAATAAATAAAAAAAATATATTTAATTGAGTGGATTATTAAATTCCCCTAAGGTCTAAAATTTTGGAACCAAACCCAACCCTATTAGGTGAGCCCAAAATCCTAAGAATCCAAACCTAATCCCTTGGCCCAAATTTTGTTGGCCCATTGCACATTGGTTAGCCATGGCCTACCATGACCATAACACACTAAGACATGTGGGTGACACAACAGGACTAACCAAGCCAAGTCTAAGAACTAAATGACAAGTTTGACACCACTCAGCATGGGGAGGGGGAGGCCACATGGCACTTTGGTCATGGTTCCTTTGACCCACCCTTGGGGAGGCCATGAAAAAACCAAATATGGTTTTAGCCACCTACCAAAAGGTCTCCTAATCAAGATAAGATCCTTCCCATGCCTCCCTCTCCACCATTGGTGTCACCATGGCCAAGGTATGGAAAATTGCCAATGCTCTATCCCCACTGCGAAAAGCCACCTAAAATCCTCTGGAAATTCGCAAAGGAGCCGCTTGACCTTCCTCTTGCCATGTCAAGCTCTCCCCACTCTTCCCATGGCTGTATAAAGAAAGAACCCGACCACCATACATACACACTAAGCTCCCTAGACAACCCTCAAATTCTCTTGCTCCCAATAGTAAAAGTGTTCCCCTTTACCAAGGCAATTGATCCCTACCATTCTCAAGTTTTCCCTACCACTATAAAACTCTAATTTCCCCACTGAAAACTAGGACCAATTTCTGCCTCGACATCCAGTTCCACAAATCTCAAACCTAACTCTCCCACAAACTTCCCAAAGAATAAGGACACTCTCCTTAATCAAAATTGTGTCGTCCTGCAGTCTCAAACCTATTCCAAGACCAAAATGTTGCCCCATTTGTTCTAGCTCTTAGCTAGGATCAATTTCAAGTCAAATTGAGACAAGGATGAGCTTCTTAGCACCAAGACAATCGTCTGTGTCAAGCCCAATCAAGGCTTCACCACTTGGGACAAGATATGGATCAAAATCACTAGTTTTTTTTTTCTAAGGTTGGTCTTTTGTTAAAAAAATGAACAATGCATGCCCATTGATCAATATAGATAGGTTCATCAAACTTAGATGAAGTTATAGAAACAAACCTCGAGTGATTTGGTTGAGAAACGAGTGAGGTATTCGGGTTTGATTGTGGACGATTCTTAGTTCTTCTTCTCGTGGGGACAATGAACCGATGTCATCCATTTCCATGTATTAGTAATGGACAACACAGATCGAGTCGAACCACTGAATCGCAAAGAGGAGGGGCATTGACATGCCTAAAAATGTGTTATTTTTATATATACATTTTATGCTAATTTTTAATGATATTGTGCTTTAATAGAATGTGTTTTGCATGTTTTTGGTTGCATGTACAAGAGAAGAAATTTTAGAGAAAAAAAAAAAGAGCAAAATCGGAGCAAACCGGCGTCAATTGGAGCTAGGTAGCACAAAATGAATTGGCGCCTAGGCGCTAGGCAGTTACACGGGCTTTTAGAAGAGCGGCGCTTAGGCACCACAATTGAGCGCCTAGGTGTCAGAGTTGGTTTTGAGGACTATGCATTGAATTTGGACGAATGTTGAAGGGGAATCTAAAGTGACTCTTGAGGATTTCGTGAGTTATCATTAAAGAAGTCAAAAGAAGCTAAAAAAGAGAGTTCTTTTGATTTGTGAGGGGAGAAAAATAACTTTTTAGTGATAACAATCCAAAAATTTCAATCAATATAACTCAAACTCTACTCATAATTTAATTTAACTCACAAACTCAATACAAAACAACATTATAGTTGCTTGAAAGCCACTAAAAGTTTTTTGGTTGTGGTTTAAACCGCTAGAAAAGAAAATATAAACAATGTCAGAAGCTTGATGCATTGCAGTGTGGTAGGCAAAAGAGTCTGCTTCATGCGTCCTTTATGCTCATTTTTGCGACACATTATAATAAAAACATATGCACCGACTTGCCAATAACCTATTTGTGATATGCATAAAAATAACGAAAAATACAGCGCGAAAATAACAAAAAATAAGACATAGTTTCTAAGAAAATCTCATATTGAACCAAAATAGTAGTAAAATTCTTGACATAAAATATTATTTAGAATTGCCGTTCATTACTTTCTTAGCAAATAATGTCAGACCTAATACTTTGATTAGTGAGGTGTATTTCAAATGATTTATAATTGCTATAACATTTTGCAAAACTTTGTTCTTGTAACTTAGTTTAATTTAGCAAATTTCAAAAACTCACAACTCTCCCACAACTTCATTTTGATTGAGCCATTAACAACCTTCACTTAAAAAAAAAAGAAATATATTTTGTAATATCAAATGTTATGTGTTAGATATATAAATATTTAAAGAATATATCTTTTAAAAATAAAAAGAAAAAAAAATAAAATTAAAAAAAAAGGGGAAGAAGAAAGCTTAACACACAAAAGCTTTGTGAAGGTTCTCTTCATCCTCAAGATAAAGCCGTATGTAGCCCAATAAACCTTTTGTCCACCATGATTATATAATAATTGTTTCTACCATATCATGACAAGTGGCAATGCCTTTAAGAACTAAGCCACCCGGCCAATCACAGCAAGGCATATGTCCCAAGTAATTATATTCTTCTCTTAATTAACCCCAAATTAAAAAGGCATGTCTGGCCGCATGCAGCGTGGCTAATATTGTAATTTGCATGGTAAATGCATGTTAAGGTTGCGTGGTGGTTTAGGGCTTTTGTATGAGTGGATTTTTTCTTTTATAAAATTTCATTAAAAGTAACTTAATAATAAGTGGTGGTATAAATTGTGGTACTTGAAATGATATTAGTGTTTGGATAAAAATTTTGTGTGCTTTTTAAAACTAATAATCATAGTTATAGGCTTATTGTGTAGACATGTTATTTCAGAATTTAATAGAATTTAATTTTCAAAAATTTAACCAAGAGATATATGCATATTGTATTAATTTTTAAAATAATAAAAATTATGATCTGATATATAAGAAAATAACGAATAACTAAGAGAAGAAATTATAATGTTTAAAAGAAGCTAAAAAAGAGAGTTCTTTTGTGGATTTGTGAGGGGAGGGTTCTTTTGGGGGTCTTGCGTGTGGAGTCATGTGGTGAGTCTTGGTGGAGTTGTTGTTTTGTGTGTGTGTGTTATGGAGTGAAATTATAGGTATTAAGAGGAGACCTTTGACCCAGATCAAATTTAGTCCGCCTACTTATCCTCTTCGTAGAGTCAAAGGTTTATTTTAAGGTTAGGGTTTTCCTTTCTTATAAAAATCTTTCTAGCCTATCATGTCCCTTAATCTAAGCTTCAACTTAAATCAAACATTTAACTTCAATCAAATTAGTTAACTCAAACCATACCCTTTATATCTCAAGTCAAATCTCAAACCAAATCTTTTTCAACTAAAATCAATTCAAATCAAACTTTATACAAACCTTCTCAACTCAAATCAATCAACCTCAAAATATTTAAAAAAATAAATTTTTGATTATAAATTTTATATGAGCTTCAACTATTTGAATATTGCCCCAATTAGAGCATCGCAGCGTGGAAGTAGTGTGACAGGGGTAACTGCCCCATCTCAATGTATGCGAGTTTGCCAATGCAATGACCGCCATGAATGAAATAATTAAATATCAAACGAAAAAATGGAATTCAGAAATGAAATCAACAATAAAAAATCTCAGTCTCATTTATATCATTAACAAAAATATTACATCTGCTCTCCACAATCTCTGTTCTATCCCCTGCTTGCAATTCTCCAACAGAAGGTAAAGTGCTCAATTCTTCTCCCTCCCCATCCATGGTTTTAGTACATAAACATACATCTACGCAACTTTCACTTTCATCGTCATCATCAGCTCTGCTGCCCGAACGATAAAAGCCCTCGCTTTTTCCTCTGACTTCAATCCAACTATGGTCCCACTCCCAGTCCGGTAGCCATGACTCAAGCTGCCGGATACTCTCCGGTAAATTCAATTCCGGTGAACCAAATCCCTCCTTTTCGTCGCCATCCTCATCATCCTCAGCTTCCGACTCCCATAAATCGAACTCAATGGTGCTCTTGGGCGAGACCCGCTTCCCCTTCTCCGCCCTTCTTCGAACTGGAGCAGAGCTCCTCTTCTTCCAAAACAAATGGATGGCGAAGAAGCTGCTCCGCCGTCCACCTTTCCTTCGGATCACGTCTCAAGCACTTGGAAACAAAATCCTTTCCTTCATCAGAAATCCATTCCGGCATCTCTGGAACATCAGAGGAAAACGAAATCTGATGAATAGCAGCAACTGAATTTGCAGCTTCAGGCCACGGCGACTTCCCAGTAGCCATCTCCACTACCGTGCACCCAAGCGACCACACATCGCCGGCGATCCCCTGCTCCTCTCCTCTAACCGCTTCCGGAGACATGTACGCCGGCGTCCCCATCACCAACCGACCGCCATCACCATCCCTCCTCGCGCAACCGAAATCGGCGAGCTTTACGAGGTCATCGGAGCAGAGAAGAACATTCCCGCCCTTCACATCGCAGTGGGCGATACCTTCGGAATGGAGGTAGGAGAGTCCGAGAAGGATCTGGCGAGTGAAAGATCGGATTTTGGGCTCGTCGAGACGGCCGGCGACATCGGAGAGGGCTCCCATGGCGGCGAGCTCGAGGAACAGGTGGTAGGATTCGCCGGAGATATCGAAGCCGAGGCAAGAGACGATGTGGGGAGAGGTGAGGGAGGAGAGGATGGAGTGTTCTTTTTGAAGAATTGCAGAGCGGGAGATGGGGGAGGACTTGACGGCGAAGAGATGAGTTGAGTTAGCTTCGATGGCGAGGGAGACGCTTGCAGTGGCGCCATGACCGATTGTCGGGCCAACCTTCCAGCTGCCGTTTGACGCCATTGAGTGAAAAATCTGATCTTTGGGGCATGCTGCAGTTCTGTTTCTGTTTATATAGGGGAAGGAGGAGGTGGCGTTAGAAAGTTGTGCTCTTTCCTTCATTTTGGCTTCCCCACGTTTCTTTTAAGTTGGATACAACGAACGTGTAGTGTGAGTGCCGGGGGAGTTTAATTTTGGGAATAATTTAAAAAGATTATGATGTTTTTCGATCGAATTTTTCATGCGATATTTATGTTTGGGCACAAAAATGTTTCTTGAAGGAAGGAATTGTGGGACTGACGGGCAAATTGTCACGTGATAAATAAGGAGATAAGGGTGAGGAAAAAGGATTTATGTAGGAAGCAAATTTTGGGGGAAGAATTTTAATTGCAGAAGTCTCAAGAGTGCCGCTGCCTCTAAAAGGAATTTTTTTCTCGTTTTTTTCATTCAGGAGAAGATCATGGCTGTCTCTGACACTAATCCACACTCTAGAGCCTCCTTTGGGGTTTCTGCCACTTGGCTCCCCATGGGCCATTTCTCCTTTCTACTTATGATTCACTCCCAGTGAAGAAGATAAGATTTGATTCTCAAATGAAATAGAAGAGTGATCATGGTAGTGGAATCTTGCTCTTGTCAGGTGGTGTTTGATTGCATCTTGATTTTATGTTACATAGGATTTATCAAATTTAGTAAAAGTTTGGATTTATCATATCCTCTTCTGCGAAGAATCTGACGACAGAGTAACTTCATAAATCCAGCCCGCAATTGAATTTAGTGAATCCATATTTAGGAATAAAATGCAATGAATAGAGACGGAATGAGCAAAATTTTGATTTAGCGGAGAGTTGAATTTAATTTGTATTTATTTTTTTATGTTTGGCTAGATTTACCTTAAATCCATGCTTAAATCCTATATAAACAATGCTTGCAAACACCGCCGAGTATTCAATTAGAAAATGTCCATTCTATGGCAATGTTTTACATGCCATCAATAAACTATGGAAATTGAAAGGTATTGTTGATCTTATCTCTCTAGCTGAATGATTTTTTTTTTTTAATTCTATTGTGTTGAAGATATAAAAATGATGTTAAGTTGGGCACCTTGTTCTCTTTATGATCAACATTTTATTTTCATGAGTTGGCCATATGATTTTGAAGAGGTTCTTGTTTCAGTTATGTTCTTCAACCTTCCTCTTTGTTATTAGTCAAAAAATGATATATTTGAAATCACACACAAAAAAAAAAAAAACGTCCCTCTTGTTGTTGGCCCCCTCATAGCTAAAGAATATCACCTTACTATTTATGTTGGGGTGATTACAAAACTTAGTACATATTCACTTTTTCTAATTTCATAATAATTCTTGTTAAATATTAAGATATTCTACAACATGTGATCTTTGAGTGGAAACCCACCCCATTTAAAACCTGTTCGACTTTCATTCATGAGCCAAATACTAGTCCCAATTCTCTCACCTACAAACCAATACTTTTAAATCTTCCTCTTTGGGACAGAACCTCAAACAGAAATGGAAGAAGTCGAAGACCCCTAAGAAGCAATAGTAGACAAGCCTGTGACATTTTCCTTACCCGACCTCCCTCTCTTTCAACTCAGAACAATAACATCTTACCTTTGAATCCTACTCCAATTATTAAATATTTTGTTGATGACTCAAACTTTTGTTGCACTAGCTTATTGCAATGATCAAAATAATAAAGAGGATTATTCAATGAATCATGAGCTTATCTTTAGAAATCCTTATCGAAATCTACCCAATCCCTTAACCTCATTAACCAGAAATGCTGCACCATCTGCCTCTCAACCTTTTTTCTTTAAAGGTAAAGAAAGATTGATCTAAACAAAGAGCTTGCCATTTTTTTATCCTTTTTTATATTCTACTCAAATATCTTAAGCTTTGAACTTTTGTTGATTTAACAGTGTTGAGTGTATGACTAACTGTAGAAATCTTATTAAAGATTATAAAATTGACCTTAAAGCATTACAATGTGTCTGTTAATGAAACAATTGTTCACAATTTTAATATTGTTAATGGTGGATGCATTCAGATAAAATAGATTTCGTCTTGTTTTTTCTTCACCACCATTGATATTCAACCCTAGTTAATTCATAATCTTGTTAAATCCTCTTTATCTCTCAACTTTAATATGACTTTTATCTATTTTAAAATTTCTGTTGTCAGAAGATGATTTTATCTTTCTACTAAGTATTTGAATAGTAATATCAATCACTTATGGATGGTGATAGGTGATTTTAAGTGCGTCCATAGCTTTTATAAACAATAGGGCTCTCTGCCTATCCTTAGTAAGATCACAAATTTCAAAACAAGTATTACTAAATTAGGATTACTTTAGATGCAAAACTTTATGTTTTTTTATATTTGATACAACCAACATGTGGACAATTCTATTAGATGGCCTCTTGATATGGTTTCTTGCAATGACCATTGGATAAACAACTTTCATCTTTCTTATTTCAAATTCTTGAACCACTAACTTCTAACAATCATCGGCTTTCATTACACTTTGATAATTGATGTGGGCTTGAGAGCAGATTTCCTTATAATAATGATTGGATTTATGGTAAATATTTTATTAATGTCATTAAATAAGTATTGAATTGTCATGTTAATGAGAGCTGCTTCTTTTCTTAATATAACATAGTGAAGAATTGTAAAAAGGCATTTCATAATTGGAATTTTAATTCTTCCAATTATCTTTCTTTTATCACAGGAGATTATGGCTCTTTTAGAGCGTAGGTCTTTATGTAAGGACTTGTTGGACAAAACTTCTTATATTCAATAATAAATTATGAATGCATGATCGTGGATAAAACAAAGTTAAAATAGTAAATTTCCTTCTAAAGGAGAAGATATCTAGTATTTTTACCTTGAAACAAAAATTATAAACAATAACAACAATATTGGGGAGATTTTGGCTAATAATATCTTTCTTACATCCAAGAAGAATGTTATAGCTGAAGTTTTATCTCATTTATTAGCTTTTTAAAATTGCCCTACTCAAAGGAATTACAACATTCAAGAGAAATTTCTTGTAACTTATCCACTGTATAGTGACGATTGTACCCATATAGGGTTTTTTATTATTTTCCCGCTGCTCTTCAACTAATGCGGGACTTTCAGATGTCGTGTAGATTTAAGGATTTGGGTTGTTTGAATAATAGAGCGTGTCATCAAAACTAGTGAACCACCTCGAAATGAATACAAGTTTGCAATTGACTATTTGAACAAAGAAGATAATTGATATCTACACTGGTATGCGATTAATTCCTACAGGTCACTTCCCCTATCTAATCTGGAGACCAAATAGGGTTTAGATTAATTATGGGGTCTTCTCCTTCCTAAGGGCATGTCTTGCCAATATAGGTCAAGGCTTATCACTAGGTCAAAACCCTAAACCAGCTCAACCAAGGGTTAGGGGCTTGGGCTTGCCCCGGTGAGGCCCAAGAAAGCACAACCTTGGACTAGGGGTTCTGTGTAGGGTGAGTCCTCAAAAAAGTGAGGTCAACAATTAACTAATTTGATAAATTAGTGAATTTTGGTGATTCCAATTTTAGGGTTAAATGGATGTTTTTAAGGTTCGTGTCAATTTTAGGGAGATTGGCGTTGGGGAAAACATTAGGTGAGGCCAAATTTTGACTTTGGTGACTCACCACTCCCATTAATTTCAAATTTGATGTTTATGATTTTAATTTAAGGTCATGAATATGAAGGGTGAACCCTTGTATGGTCTAGAACTAGCCTCATGCCCAATGGGCCTTCTCTAGATCGAAAAGGGTGTTGGGGTGGTCAGCAGGTCTTCACATAGACTCCTATAACTCTATATTATCTATAGGTTGTCGAGGGTATGCTCTGCCTATAGGAATTCAGCTTATACTTTTAATGGTCTAAACCCGAACCATCTCAACCGATTGTCGAGTATTTGGGTCTAACCTCGTGAAGCCCCCTAAATGAGTGTAAAATTGGTTTGAAGTTCAATATGGGAGAGTTCATCTCTAGCCATCTAAGAATGTTACTAGGAAACCTTAAGTCTAAATCTTAGGCTTCTATAGAGAGAAAAGAGGTCCTCACAAAAATGAGGTGAACACCATCTTATTCAACATCCTACTAACAATGAGATCAAAGAGGCCATCTTCACTATTAATTTTGATAAAACTCTAAAATTAGATGGCTTTATTTCTAAATAATTCAAGGATTCTTCATCTATTTTTGGCACTTCTTGCATTAAAGCTATAGAAATTTTCTTTTTCACAGCTAAGCTTCCCATTAGGGTTAAACACTATGTCATAACATTAATTTCAAAGCCTTTGTGCCCAATATTTTAATTATTATAGGTATATTTCATTTTGTAATACTATTTATAAGGTGATTGCTATGCTTCGTATAGATAAACTCAAATTTATTCTTCCATACATTATTCATTTTGCATAAGCTGCATCTATGAAAGGTCGTGATATTGCTGATAATATTATTTTGGCTAACAAACTCTTTCATGGATTTAATTCCTTTTGTTCTAAGAAGAGGTTCATTGCAAATATTAATTTAAGGTTTTTGATTGTATTAATGGACATTTCTTTTATGCTAGAATTGGAACAATTTAGATTAGTTACTTTATCCAAATGTTGGATTAAAGAATGTATATATATTCTTTATTTTTCTGTTTTGATAAATAAAGAGCTCAGAGGATGCTTCTTATCCGTTATTGGCATACTTAAAAAATGCCCACATTCTCATTTTTTTTATGATTATGATGGACACACTTTCCATTCTTATATATTATAAAACCCAAATTTATAATTCTACAAATTCTTCTGCGAGTTCTATAATATTTCACACCTTATTTTTGAAGATGACTTATTGGTATTTGGTAATGTCTATACTCTTATAGATTCTAAAGCACAACTTCATAATTCTGCAAATTCTTATGGGTGCTCTATAATATGTCAATCATTATTTCTACACCTCATAATTAGGGTGAGCAAGCGGTGAATCTGAGGATACTACCTAGTCCTCCGAGTCAAGCCTCAGTTATTTCCTCGCCACCACCTTCTACTTCCGCTCCCCCTCCGGTTAGGAGTCAGTCCCTTGCTTCAGA